AGACGCGGCTCCAGAGGCGGCCCTTGAGCAGCAAGCGCCGGAGCCAGTCGATGCCGTGGCGGATCACGCTCACGGTGCGCGCCGGACGGCTCCAAGGGTCACGGTGATTGGGAGCCAGCGCTTTGGGCGGTGTCCGCAGGTTGCCTGGAGCAATCCTCCGCTCCTGGGCGTCCTCCACCCTGGTGCCATAGGCCAGGGCCAGCAGGGTGGCCACCGACAGGACGAGCCAGTGCCGGGAGACGCGGGTGGGGTCGGTGCGCCGCGTCTTGTCCCACTTCCAGCCCAGGCTCTTGAGGGCCTTGAAGCCCAACTCGATCCAGAAGCGCAGGGCGTACCAGCTGGGACCCACCTGATCGGGTGCAAGGTCGGTGAGGATGATCCAGGGTTCCTCCTGTTCGGAGTACCAGACCACCAGCAGGGTGCAGCGGCGTTGGGCCTTGGGGGTGCTGAAGGCGGTGCCGCGGCCAATCCACGCCGTATCGGGACGGGAGACGAAGCGCTGGGCGGGCAATCGTTTGCCGCCGTCAGCGCAGAAAGTGATGTTCTTTCGGTAGCGCATACCGGGATGCCAGCCTTGATCCCGTATCTGCTGCCACAGCTTGGGACTGGCGATGCCCCGGTCGCAGAGCACGCTGACGGTCATATTCTCGGGAACCGCTGGGGCCAAGGCTTGCAGCAGTTCCACGGTGGGGTCCATCCAGGAGCCGGGCTGGTCGGCGTGCCGGATGTGCCAGGCCACGGGGATGGCGCAACTGCGGTATACCACGCTGATGACGATGGCGGTGGTCTGGTCGCCTTTGAGGGTGGGGTCTATGGCCAAGGCCAAGCCGCCCGACCGCCACCAGCAGAGGACCCACCGCAGCAGTGGCGCGAAGCAGAGAGTTACGTCCAGCTCGGTCTGGCAGGGAGTCGCGCGGTCGCCGCCGTCGTAGAGCCACTCCCTGAGGCGCTGGCGCAGGTTGTACCAGTTGCTCCAGGGCGAGAGGGCGGAGGCCACGGCGTTCTGGCAGGCGCTGCCGGCGAGGATGGCCCCGCAGACCCACAGCGCCAGGCCGGTCAATTGTGGCTGGGAGAGGTGAGGTAAATGCGGTTCAATCGTTTTTTGCATCTGATAGCATTCGCATGGGAAGGCGCAATCGCGTGGGTCTTCCGGCAGCCTGTGTCTCACACCAGATGCGGAGTCAATATTTATAGATAGCGGATTTTTTCTGGCGGTGCGCCTTCCAGCGATGTCGCAACCCGATTCGCACTACCTACCTGCAGATGGCTCTACTCGCTCGCGTGAGAGGGTGAGCCCCTGGGTTCCAGCGTCGGCCGGAACGACGGCTGCGCGCCGCGACCAACGTCGTACGCCCGAAACCAATCATGCGTACTCACTTTAATCTGTCATTGCGAGCGTAGCGCGCAATCTCGTCGCCGTCAGCCGTACGCAAATAGCAGCTGCGGTACCGACGATGTGTTCAACCCATCGAGAGTGTCCACGTCCTCGACGAGCTCGGATAACGTCTCTACTCGCAATGACAGATAAAGTGAGTACGCGCGACGTGCCCGGTGCGTTGCCGCTGTTGTTGAGGCTGTGCTATACTGCGGCAGACTACAACATAGATACTTTGGCGCACGAAACCGCGCCCAACTAGCCAGATTGCAGAAAGGCGGAGTAATTTATGGTACAGGCCCCTGAACTTGCACCACAACCCGTAGCGGAAGCTGCCCCTCAGTTGGAACCCATCACGATGAAGTCGTTGCTGGAAGCCGGCGTCCACTTCGGTCATCAGACCCGACGCTGGAATCCCCGGATGCGCCGCTACATATTTACCCAGCGCAATGGCATCCACATCATCGACCTCCAGCAAACGATGGGGTTGATCACCGACGCCTACCGGGCCATGGTCGACATCGGCGCTTCCGGGGGCAAGGTGCTGTTCGTGGGCACCAAGAAGCAGGCCCAGGATGTCATCGCATCTGAAGCCGACCGTGTCGGACACTGGTACGTAAACCAGCGCTGGCTGGGTGGCACGCTCACCAACTTCCAGACCATCAAGGCCCGCATCGACTACATGAAGAACCTTCAGGAGCAGCGCGACACCGGCTACCTGGCCCGTCTGCCCAAGAAGGAAACCGTCCGCCTGAATCACACGCTGGAAAAGCTGGAGAAATACTTCACCGGCCTGCGTGAAATGGACCGTCTGCCCGCCGCCCTGTTCGTTATTGACATCGGCAAGGAAGACATCTGCATCGCCGAAGCCCGCCGCCTCAACATCCCCATCTTCGCCATCGTCGACACCGACTGCGATCCCGGACAGTGACCCACGCGGTTCCGGGTAACGACGACGCAGTGCGTTCCATCCGCCTGATTACCGGGCGCATGGCCACCGCGATTGAAGAAGGACAGGCCTACCGCGAGGCCATGTTGCTGGCCGCCGCCGAGGCCGCCAACGCACCGGAAGAAGGCGCGGAACCCACTACGGACGAAGAAGCCGCCGACCGGTTCTCACTCACCACGGTTACGCTGGCGGAACTGGAAAACATGATGACGTCCCGTCCGCTGGAACCCTAACCGTCGCGTTACACTGCAACGTGCCGCCCGCAACCAACGCTATAGACCGACCACACCAACTCAGGAGGGTCCCGCTTTGCCTGCCGTTACCGTCGAACTCATCAGAAATCTGCGCGAGCAAACCGGAGCCGGAATTAGCGATTGCAAACGGGCCCTGGAAGATAACGACGGCGACCTCAACAAAGCCGTCGAATCTCTCCGCCAGAAAGGCTTTGAACAGGCAGCCCGGCGCTCGGACCGGGAAACGTCCCAAGGCTTGGTCGAAGCTTACATTCACACCGGCGGCCGCGTCGGTGCGCTGGTGCAACTGGGTTGCGAAACCGACTTCGTGGCCCGCACCGAAGAATTTCGGGTGCTCGCCCACGACATCGCCATGCAGGTCGCGGCAATGTCTCCGGTTTACCTCAGCGAAGAGGATATTGAAGCTGGCGACGAACGGCCCGCCGCTCAGGTCTGCCTGTTGCAGCAGCCTTACATCAAGGACGGCTCCCGTACACTGGCCGATCTCGTGCGCGAAACCGCGGCGCAAACCGGCGAAAACGTGCGCGTCGTACACTTCAGCCGTCTGGCGCTGGGCGAGTAACCGCCAACCCGAACGGTTTCGGACAACGGTTTCGAAAATGTGAGGCCGTGAACATTGGCCACCGGCAGCGTTAAAGGCGAAACCATCTATCGTCGTGTCCTGTTAAAGGTCAGCGGCGAATCTTTACAGGGCGCCGGCCCCGACCCCATCGACACCGCGGCCGTCGGGTACATCGCCGACCAGATTATCGACGTGCGCGCGCATGATGTGGAAGTCGCGGTCGTGGTCGGAGGCGGAAACATCTGGCGGTGGGCGCTGACGCTGCCGCTCTGACGGAAAGGCATGGAACGGTCCACCGCCGACTACGCCGGCATGGTCGCAACCATCATCAACGGGCTGGCCCTGCAGGACGCGCTGGAACGGCGTGGTATCACCACCCGCACCCAGTCGGCCTTGCCCATCCAGGCCGTCGCCGAGCCTTACATCCGCCGCCGCGCCATCCGCCATCTGGAAAAGGGACGCGTAGTGCTGTTCTGCGCCGGAGCCGGCAACCCGTATATGTCAACCGACACCGCGTCGGCGCTGCGCGCCCTGGAGATTGGCGCCGAGGTGCTGCTGATGGCCAAAAACGGCGTTGACGGCGTTTACGACTCCGATCCTCGCACCAACCCGGAAGCGGTGCGGTTCGGCAATCTGGAGTATCTCGATGCCGTGAACCGACGGCTCGAAGTGATGGACAGCACGGCAATGACGCTGTGCATGGACAACGATATGCCCATCATTGTTTTTGATATATTTGAGCAAGGCACCATGAGCCGGATCCTGCGCGGGGATGCCGTGGGCACCACCATCAATGGAGGCGAGCAAAATGCCAGAGCGCAAAGGTGACAACAACCGCAACCAGGACGAGCGAACCATCGAAGACGTGCTGAGTGAAGCAGAACACAAGATGGGGCAGTCGATCGAAGCCATGCGCCGGGACATCAGCACCCTGCGGACCGGGCGCGCCACGCCCTCGCTCATCGAAGACCTCACGGTCGATTATTACGGCACACCTACCCCTCTCAAACAGATTGCAGCCATCTCAGCGCCCGACGCCCGCGCCATCATGGTGCAGCCCTGGGACAAGCAATCCCTGCGGGACATCGAACGCGGCCTGTCGCAGTCCGACCTCGGGTTCAATCCGTCCAACGATGGCAACGTCATTACCGTGCCCATTCCCCCGCTGACGCAGGAACGCCGGCAGGAGATGGTCAAATTGCTCAAGCGCAAGGCCGAAGACGGCAAGGTATCCATCCGCAACGTGCGTCGCGACGGGCGTGGATTCCCTGCGCAAGATGGAGCGGGACAAGAGCATTTCCCAAGATGAAAACCGGCGCAGTCAGGAATCGCTCCAGAAAACCACCAACACCCATATCAAGACCGTTGATGAGGTAGCGGTGGCTAAAGAAAGCGAAATCATGCAGGTTTAATCGCCTGTACATCCCCTTGCCCAACTGTAATTCTCCCCCGCACAATGCCGGCGCCGGCCACGACGCCGGCCCAATTCCCCAACACGTTGCCATCATCATGGATGGTAACGGGCGCTGGGCTTTGCAACGGCAGCTGCCCCGTCCCGATGGCCACCGGCAGGGCGTGGTCAACATACAGCGCGTGGTGAAGATTCTGGCCCGACGCGGCGTTTCGGTAGTTACCCTCTTCGCCTTTTCCACGGAAAACTGGAACCGGCCCGCGCCGGAAGTGGACGCCCTGATGACCATTATGGCCGAGGAGATTGAGCCGCAAACCCAGCAACTCCACGAAGGCGGTGTGCGGCTGATCCATCTTGGCGACCCCGACCCGCTCAACCCCCTGTTGCGGCACGCAGTCGCTGAAGCCCAACAGCGCACCCTCGAAAACTCGGCCGTTACCCTCAACATCGCCTTCAACTACGGCGGGCGCGATGAGATTCTGCGAGCCGTGCGGCGCATCATCGCCGATGACCTGCCGCCCGAGCAGGTGGACGAAGCCCTGTTCAGCCGCTACCTGTACACCGACGGCTGTCCCGACCCCGACCTCATCATCCGCACCGGGGGCGAGCAGCGCATCAGCAATTTTCTGCTCTGGCAGGCTGCGTACAGCGAGTATTACCACACGCCTGTGCTTTGGCCTGATCTGGATGAGGTTGAGTTGGGGTTGGCCCTCGATGCCTACAGCCAGCGGCAGCGCCGTTTCGGTGCGCTGAACGCATCAGACAACACCAGCCAGGAATAGCCGGTGCTGCTCCACCGGGTTCTGACCGCCCTGGTGGGCGTGCCGATCATAGTTGGCGCCATCTGGTTTGGCCCGCCCTGGCTAACCGTCGTGGTGGTCGCAGCTGCCGTCATCGGCGTTCGGGAAGCCTACCGCCTGTATCCGCCGGCTGCCCCGCCAGTTGCCCCGCCGGATGACGGAGAATTCCATGACGGAGCATCCCCAACCCGACTGCCCATCCTGCTCGGGGGAACCTGGGCGGTGGCGCTGGTGCTGGCCGGCGAACTGGCGGGGCAGACCCGCGACTTCGTCCTGGCGGCGGCGGTTATCTGCGTCGTCGGTTGCATCATCGCCGGCCTGTGGATGATCGCCGCCTGGCACGGCCGCCGCCCCATCGTGGCCGCGTTGTACCTGGTGGCCGCGCCGGTTTACATTGGCGGTGCCTTGGCCTGTGCCGTCGCCCTGCGCGCCATCATCGGGGACGACATACCACTACCCACGGATACGATTTCCGAAGCGGGCAGCCAATGGCTGCTACCCACCATAGACGGCAACGAACTGTCGGGCGGCAATGGTCTCTCGGACGGCCTGGCTATCACCGCGCCGGTCGTAGCGCCCGACCAACCGCAAGTTGGCGTCAACGGCGTCTGGCTGCTCCCGCGCCTCGTGGGCGGCGAGTTCGCTGCAACGGTAGCCAACCTGAGTCAGGCCGGATGCTGGTGGCTGCTGCTGGGCATCCTCACCGTGTACGCCACCGACACCGGCGCCTACACCGTTGGACGGCTGTTCGGACGGCATCCGATGGCGCCCAGCATCAGTCCCGGCAAAAACTGGGAAGGCGCAGCGGGCGGCATGGCCGGCGCAGTCATCGCCGCCGTAGCATTGGGCGTTCTGTTCCCGTTGCAACTGGATATTTGGCAACTGGTGGGCATTGGTGTTATGTTAGGCGTCATTTCGCCAGTCGGCGATCTGTTTGAATCCAAAATCAAACGTTTGGCTGATGTGAAAGATTCCGGCAATCTTTTCCCGGGCCACGGGGGGATGCTGGACCGGCTGGACAGTTTGTTGCCCTCATTAACCGTGGTATACATCCTGGCGGCAGTTTTCGCCGCAACCTCCTGACTCACTGCACCGGTGTTTATGCGACGTATCGTAATACTGGGCTCCACCGGGTCCATTGGCCGGCAAACGCTGGACATCGTGCGGGCTTTCCCCCACGAGTTCGAGGTCGTTGGACTGGCCGCCGGCAACAATACTGCCCTGCTGCTGGAACAGATTTCCGAGTTCAACCCCCGCTACGTATGGTGCAACCACCCGCCGGCGCCGCTGCCGTCCGGCGTGGCGCTGCTCCCCATGAACGAAATGGCGGCGCTGCCTGAAGTCGATCAGGTGATGGTTGCCCTGATGGGTGGAGTGGGTCTGCATCCCACCATGTGCGCCCTGCAGGCCGGCAAGCAGGTGGCCTTGTCCAACAAGGAACCCGTGGTAATGGCCGGCCCGGCCTTGAAGGCAGCCGAGCGCAAGCACAACGCCACGATTTTGCCGGTCGACAGCGAACCCAGCGCCATCTGGCAATGCCTGCAGGGTGAGGACAACCACATTCGCCGTCTGATGATTACGGCCAGCGGCGGCCCCTTCCGTCGCACTCCGCTGGCCGAGCTTGAATCGGTTACTCCCGAGCAGGCGTTGCAGCACCCCACCTGGCGCATGGGCGCAAAAATAACCGTCGATTCGGCCACCCTGATGAACAAGGCCTTCGAGGTCATCGAGTCGCACTGGCTGTCTCGGTACCTTGGGAAGACATTGCGGTGGTGGTGCATCCACAGAGCACCATCCATTCCATGGTGGAATTCGACGACGGGTCGGTGAAGGCCCAGCTGGGCCCGCCCAGTATGCGGCTGCCAATCCAGTACGCGCTGTTCTATCCCAAACGGTTGCCCAACGCCGAAATCCCCCGCCTGGACATCGGTGTTGCCTGGTCGCTGGACTTTGAACCGCTGCAACCGGAGCGTTACCCATGCTTCGGGCTCGCCATCACCGCCGGCCAGGAGGGTGGAACCATTCCCGCGGTTTTGAGCGCCGCCGATGAGGTTGCCGTAGAATCATTTTTGCGGGGCAGCATCGGCTTCACCGATATTTACCGGGTGGTCGAAAAGGTTCTGGCGCAGCATCAGAATCAACCCAACCCGGAGCTCGATGCCATCATCGACGCCGACCGCTGGGCCGGCAAGCGCGCGGGAGAAATCGCCGCCGCCCTTGCCCGCTAGGCTACTCCCCTTCCCCGGCGACTGAGGTTACCCTGACGATGGAAACCGCCATCATTGCCCTGGCATCGTTCATTCCGATGCTGCTGCTGCTGGTCGTCGTTCACGAATTGGGGCATTTCTGGTCGGCCAAAGCCTTCGGCGTCAAGGTGCTGGAATTCGGCATCGGCTATCCGCCCCGGGCGTTCGGCATCTACACCGGCCGCACCGAAACCCTACTCTCCGCCGACACCGTCTGCCTGACCGGAGCGTTGGTCGACATCCGGCCCGGCCAGGTGGTGCGCGTTTTGTCCGGCGAAACCGACGACGGCGAACTGGTTGCTCAGTACGTGGAGATTCGCGGTGCGGGACGCTCCGGGAGCCTGCTGGCGGCGTTGGGTCGCTTTGCCGGCTCCGGAAACAAGGGGCAGGATGCGGCGCCGGCTCAACCGACCCGAGCCTCGCTGGATGACCTGCAATCCGACCGCTACTTACGGCACGAAGGGCGGGTGCGCGAGGTGGACGGCAGCCGCATCGTGATGGCCGATATGCTCTATTCGCTGAACTGGCTTCCGCTGGGAGGGTTCGTCAGACTGTCGGGAGAGAACAACCCGGAGGCGCCGCGCAGCCTGGCTCGTCGCGGCATCGGTCAACGCGCGGTGGTGCTGGCGGCCGGCTCGGCGATGAACGCGTTATTCCCCATCGTGGCCTTCGCCGTCATGTTCATGATTCCCCACACCGAGCTGACCGGCGGCACCGTGCATATAACGGCGATCGCGCCCGACTCACCGGCCCAGGCCGCCGGACTTATGCCGGGCGACCGGGTGCTGGGCATCGACGGGCGACTGTTGGAAACGCCGGATGTTCTGGTGCGCGAGGTTCGGCTGGGCGCCGGCGACGAAATGCTGTGGTCGATAGAACGGGACGGCGCACCGCAGCAGGTGCGAGTTACGCCGCGTCTGAACCCGCCGGCGGGTCAGGGCGCCACCGGCATCGCCTTCACCGTAGTTGACCAGCAGTCCGAACGTCGCTCCGAACCACCCTGGACGGCCATCCCGATGGGGGTCTCCAGAACCGGGGAAATGGTTACGCTCATCGGGCGGGAAGTGAGCGGCTGGTTCGGCGGCGGTCGCGGCCCCGAGTTCAGCGGACCAATCGGCATCGCCCAGATAACCGGCGAGGTTACTCGCCAGGGCGGATTCCAGGGTTGGATTGTCGTGGCCATCCTGCTGAGCATCAACCTGGCCGTGCTGAACATCCTGCCCATCCCGATGCTGGACGGCGGGCGTCTGCTGTTCGTGTTCATCGAGTGGGTGCGTGGCGGCAAGCGGGTGCCGTCGGAGAAAGAGGGGCTGGTGCACCTGATTGGCTTCGTGGCCCTGCTGGCCCTGGTAATCCTCATCAGCGCCAACGACATCATCCGGCTGGTGCGCGGCATTTCGCCGCTGGGCGGTTAGGCGCTACACAGACTTCAGCCCTACCAAAGACTCCGGGCATACCAAAGCCCCGGCTCGTTGCCGAGCCGGGGCTTTTGACTGGACCTGACCTGCGCTTACTTCAGGTTGCTGTCGAAGAAGCTCAGGGTGCGGGCCATTGCGTCGCTGGCGGCAGCTTCGTTGTAGCTGTCGCGGTCGTCGCAGTTGAAACCGTGTCCGGCGCCCGGATACATCTTGAAGTCATGGGACTTGCCGGCTGCCGACAGGGCGGCCTCAATCTTGGAAACGTCATCCGGCGTGGGGTTGCCGTCCGTCTCACCGAAGTTGCCCATCAGCGGGATGCTGATGTTGGCGGTTCCGTCGACCGGGGTGACGCCATCGGAGTACGGGGCCAGGATGGCGCCGCCGTAGTACACGACGCCGGCGCTAAGGCCGGAGCAGGCGCTGGCGGCCAGGTACACTACGCGGCCGCCCATGCAGTATCCCACGATGCCGATTTTCTGGCCGCGGGTGCGCGGGTAGGTGCGTTGCAGGTAATCAATGGCGCCGTTGATGTCCTGGATGATGCCGCCGCCGGTAAGCTCCGGCATGTAGGTATTGACGGCAGCATCGAAATCGTCAGGGGTGTAGCCAAGCGTGGGGTTGGGGTTGCGCTCGTTGCGGTGGAACAGGGCCGGAGCAACTGCAACGTAGCCGGCGGCGGCAAACTGGTCGGCCACTCGCTGGATGTGCTGATTCACGCCGAAGGCTTCCTGAACAACGATAACCGAGGGCAGGCTGGTTCCGGCGCTGGGGACGGGGAAACTCACGTAGGCGCTCATATCGCCGCCTTCAGCGATATTTGCTCCCGACTCCCGGTCCAAGTCTGGCATTCGAATGTTTTCCCAGAACGACGGCATAGTATTTATCCTCCTCCATTAGTTGCGCAGACGATAGCAGTACAGCGACGCCGCGACGTCAGTAGGTGGCCGTTCGCCAGCCGTACCTCTCGTGCGCTGGAATTGTAACAAAGGATTGCAGCCCAAACAAGCCGGCTGCGCCACCACGCCTTCGATGCCAGCAAACTGGACTCAGCTGGCCCTGCGCAACCACCTTGTCATTGCGAGCGTAGCGCGGCAATCCCGTCGTCGTAGCAACGGCGGTTCGCCGACGTGTGTTCAACCTCATCGAGATTCCCGCTCGTCCTGAGCCTGTCGAAGGACGCTCGCGATGACCGATTAAAGTGGGTACGCGTGAGGACTCAGCTGGCCTTGGCGGAGTGGTGGATCGAGCATTCACTCTGCGCCATTACCCCCTCCCGTCAAGGAGGATATTGCCCGCTTATTCGGACGGGACTGGTGCCGCTGGCAGAGGTGGTAGGCTCCGGCAGCTACGGCTTCCCACTCGTGGGTCGACTTATCCGCCCCAACCAGTCCCAGGGCGGTCATTGCGGCGAATGCCAAAGACTGGCGGGATGCTCGGGCGTGCCCTGCTACCCCTTGTCGGATCGTCGCCGAGGGATAGGGCGTGAGCGGCCGGCCGGCTTGCCGCGCCCAGCGTGCCAGTTCGGTTTCCAGAAGGGCCAGGGCTGGCACGTCCCACCGCAACCCGGTTGGCTGACACCAGGCCACCTCGTCGGGCGCAAATCGTTCTACCAGCCCATCCAGAGCCAGCAGCAGGCTTGCAATGCGAATTTTTGCCGACCCGGCCCGTCCCGCGGTGGCGATGATGCCGGAATCGCTCAGCGTATGGCCGACGAAAATCGCCCAACCGGTTTCCCGAGTGTCAGCATCCAAAGCCAGCAACACTGGCTGAGCATCCGGTTGCCGCTGCGTATCAGGCATCAAACGATTTTCTCCCCGGCAAAGCCATGCCATCGCGGGGGTTGCGCGCTCGGCGTGTTGCCGGCCGAGTCGCACGCGTGGCGTTGCCAAAATTCCCAGAACTCGCTAGGCGACGGCCGGCAGCGAACGCTGGGTCTGCGGATAGCGACCACATTGCAGGCACTGCCAGTCACCCTGGTTGACGAAGAGGTCGCCGCCGCAACGACGGCACCCACGGAATACAAACCTGCCCACTGTGCAAACTCCTCAAACCGTATCGAAAATAGGCAGCCCACCTATCAGTTACGGAGCCACAGGGCCAATTATAGAACAACCGTTCGTATTAGTGCAAGGCGGGCGAGTCTCTCACGCGTACCCCCTCTGTCAATCCAGACCTGCCTACTGCCATTGCGAGGAGCGCCCGCTCATCCCGAGCTCGTCGAGGGACGTGGCAATCTCGATGACGTTGCGCAGACGCCGGCCAACCATCACTGCTACGACGACGAGATTGCCACGCTACGCCCAGTAGAGTACCGGGAGGTGGTGTAAAAGAATCGGTGTAGCCCAAAGCTAACCACCGCGTCATCCTTGATCGGAAGTCATAACCCAGAACAAGGAGAACGACGGTGGTCAAGCAAAGAATGGATCTTTTGGAATTATTACGCAAGCGTGGTATGGACGGAGACGTGGACTTGCTGCGGGAAGCACTGCGGGTCCTGGTGGACGGCATCATGGACGCCGAGGTTTCCGCCCAGATCGGCGCTCAGCACGGCGAACGCAGCCCAGAGCGGGTCACCTACCGCAACGGCTACCGCAACCGCACCTGGGATACCCGGGTGGGCACCACCGAGCTCAATATCAATGGAGTTGCACATTCCCAAGCTGCGGGAAGGCAGCTACTTCCCCAGCCTGCTGGAACCACGGCGGCGCAGCGAGAAGGCTCTGCTGTCGGTGATCCAGCAGGCCTACGTGGAGGGAGTCTCCACCCGAAGGGTGGACGACCTGATCAAGGCCCTGGGTTGCGACGGCATCTCCAGCAGCCAGGTGTCGCGCATCTGCGAGCAACTGGATGAAGTAGTGGACAGTTTCCTGGGTCGGCCTCTGGACGGTGGTCCCTACCCCTACGTCTGGCTGGACGGCCTGACCCAGCAGGTGCGTGAGGGCGGCCGCATCGTGAACGTCTGCGTGGTGGTGGCGACGGGGGTCAATGCCGAAGGGCAGCGTGAGATCCTGGGTATGGACGTGGGCGCCAGCGAGGACGGCGCGTTCTGGCTGGCCTTCCTGCGGTCGCTGACCGCTCGGGGCCTCAGCGGGGTGGAACTGGTGACCTCCGATGCCCACCAGGGGCTGAAGAACGCCATCGCCGCAGTCTTTGCTGGAGCCAGCTGGCAGCGCTGCCGCACCCACTTCATGGCCAACCTGCTCACCCGCGTGCCCAAGCGTGCCCAACCTGGCGTGGCCACCCAGGACCTTCTCGCATGGTACGCACCATCTACCAGCAACTGTCTCCCGCCGAGGTCCACGGCCAATTGGACCGAGTGGTGGAACAACTCCGGGAGCCCTTTCCCCAGGTGGCCGAACTGCTGGCGGACGCCGCGCCGGACCTCCTGGCCTTCACGGCCTTCCCAGTGGCCCACTGGCAGAAGCTGTGGTCCAACAACCCGCAGGAACGGCTGAACCGGGAGATAAGGCGCCGGACTGACGTGGTGGGCATCTTCCCCAACCGGCTATCGGCGCGGCGCCTGGTGGGCGCGGTGCTGGCCGAGCAACACGACGAATGGGCCGAAGCCCGCCGCTACCTCACCATCCCCAACGCCGCCGGCAACGAGGCACTGCCGGAGCCCAACATGCTGGACACAGCAGCCTAATCAACATCAAAAGGGATGACGCGCTTTTACACCTATTGACGGGACACTACCCTACGCTCGCAATGACAGGGTGGGTTCGCGTGGTGGGTTGAGTAGTTGCCATCCGGCAATCACCGATATTGCGAGCTGCCCGGCACCAACCCCGGGCAGAACGGACGGCTACGCTCCGACCAAACGCTCCCGCCTGGCTCGGCTCGCGTTGCCAATCCAGTGTGCGCCCCACACCGCGCAGATGGACACAAAAGACAGCGCCGCCGACAGGATGAAAGCCTGCACGTAGTTGCCCTGCAAGTCGAACATCACACCGCCCAGCACCGGCCCCAGGAAAATCGCCGCGCCCCGACCCATCTCCACGAACCCCATCACCGTACCCAGCGACTCTGACGGGAACAAATCGGCTGCCTTGGCCCCCACGATAAGGCCGCTGATACCGTCGCTGATACCGGCCAGCGCCACATACGCCACCAGGGGCCAGAAGCTGCCGTCGCCCAGCCACACGATGAGCAGAACCGCAACGATGGTCAGCATCATCCCCACCGTAAACACCAGCTCGCGACCCCAACGATCCGAAGCAATCCCAACCAGCGGTCGCGCGAACACGCTCACCCCGCCGACTGCGCCCATGGTCGACGCCGCCACCAGCGTGCTGTAACCGGCCAGCACGAAAAAGGTTACCAGATGCACTCTCACCAGCTGCGTGCCAACCGAACCCGTGATGCGCGTCAGCACCAGCAGCCACATTGCCGGTTGGGTAACCACGCTGCCCAGCGACGGTGCAGCCGACCGACGTCGCGGCGATTCAACTGGCCCTGGTTGGCTCGCCGCCTGGACTGGCAGACGCGGCGGCATTCCAGACGGCGCGGCGAGTACGGTTTCTGGCGTCGCCGGCGGGGCCCGACGCTGGAACAGTCCGTTGGGGATAGTGATCAGCGCAAAAAATATGGCCGCGAAACAACGGTACGTGCCTCGCCAACCGATGGTGTCGGTGAGGACCGCGGCTAGAGGCGCAAATATGGCCTGACCGATGGGATTGCCCGAATCGGCTAATCCCAGAATCCGCCCCCGAGATTGGGGGAACCAGGGCGCCAGGGTCGCGGTCATCGAGAAAGAAGAGATGGCCGTCTGCCCGATGCCGGCGAAAATTCCGTAGAATATGAACAGTTGCCACAAATCCGTGGCGTAGCTCGACGCCAGCCAGCCCACCAGTATGAAGGCTCCCGCCAACGGGAAGATGATGCGCGCGCCCCACCGGTCCAGCAGCGCCCCCAGTAGCGGAGCCGACAACGCCCCAGTCAGCCCAGCCAGGCCAAATACCGCCGAGGTTAGGGTCGCGCTGCTGCCAAACGCCACTTTGAGGGCGTTGAAAAACACTGCTTCGCTGTTCTTGGTGCCACCCTCAACCGTCAGATTACCCAGCGAGAGCACGAACACTGCCCAACCGTAGTGGAACCGGGAGCGCGCCTGCCTCAGCATGATCCACGCGGGTTCGGTCGGCCGTTAGGTGGTCGGCAAGGCATCGGCCGATTATACACGGCGGGGGTTACGTAATTTACAGGGACCGATAGGATGGACAGGATTTATTTGAGGGATGCTATTATCGTTGGCACTCCATATGCAGGGTTGCAACTATGACACCAACGCCGCACCAGACTTATCTTGACCGCGCGCTGGACGACCGCCACGCCGTGATTGCCGGCGAGGGGCGCTCGGAACGGATCCGGTATATTGCCGCCGACCATTCGGAACGGTGGAGCGATCCCGAGGAGAAAGTTCGCGCCGAGCTGTGGGCGGAGCTTATCTACAAGTACGAGTATCCGCCGGGGCGTATGGGATTTGAGGTTACTCTCCCCGACCGCACTCCGACTCGCTATGCGGATTTGGTGATTTACCGCGATGACGAACTGAAATCTCCCTATTTTGTATTTGAGTGCAAAAAGGGCGACGTATCCGACGCTGAATTTGACCAGTCCATTGAGCAGGCCGTGGGCAATCGCAACCTGCTGGGGGCGTCGTACTGCGGCGCCGTGGCCGGGCTGACGCGCCGGTTGCTGCGCTTTGACAAGTTTCCGCCCGGCGAGCGGAAACGGAACCATTTGACCGACATTCCGGTGCGCTACGACAGTCCTCCGCAGTAGCGTTTCTACAAGAACCGGTCCGGACAGGATTTGGCCGCGGTGCCTCGGGAAGACCTACGAACGGCCATCCGCAAGTGCCACCAGACGCTTTGGGAAGGTGGACGGCGTAGCCCCATCACCGCCTTTGGCGAGTTTTGCAAACTGGTGTTCATCAAGCATCTGGACGAGAAGGACCTGAACCGGGCGGATGGGCAACCCTATGCGTTCCAGCGGCGGGACGGCGAAACGCCGGACGGGCTGGCCAAACGCATCAATCAGCTCTACGAAGACGAGAAGAAGCTGCAACCATACGTGTTTACCGACAGCATCAACGTGGAACCGGCAATACTGGCGCAGTGCGTGGAGCACTTGGAAGGGATTTCGCTGGACCGCACCGAACTTGATACCAAGGGGGTGGCGTTTGAAGAGTTTATGGGAAGCTTTTTCAAGGGCGACTTCGGGCAGTATTTCACGCCAAGGGAATTGATTGCTTTCTGCGTAGCCCTGCTGGATCCAGGACGCACCGACCTGGTGCTGGACCCGGCCTGCGGCTCCGGAGGGTTCCTGCTGTACGCGCTGGACCACGTGAGACGCAAGGCAGATGAGGCGCAGACCCCGGGCAGCATTGATCATTACCGATTCTGGCACGACTTCGCCCAAAATAACCTTTTTGGTTTGGAGGTGAACGACGAGTTGGCTCGCGTGGCCAAGATGAACATGATTATTCACGATGACGGGCATACCAACGTGGTGGGGCACGATGCGCTGGATTTCCCGAAGAACATTGCTGCCGAGAACGCCGGCCTGTCGGCAGAAAGATTCGACCTGGTTCTCACTAACCCGCCTTTTGGCGCTACAGTCAGGCGCACCGAGAAGGGGGACGGGTATCTGGAACAGTTCGAGTTGATGCGCTATCTCGGTAAGAATTATCCGTTGCATACCGATATGACTGGGGAAGGAGACGAAACCGACACCAGGTTGACGCCAAAATCAGTGCGGCCAAGGGCTAGCATCAAAACCGAAATTGCATTCATTGAGCGGATTCACTCGTTCCTCAAACCGGGCACCGGACGGGCCGCTGTGGTGCTGCCCGACGGTATCCTGACGAACTCGTCGTTGCAGGGCGTGCGGCACTGGATGCTGGAACATTTTCCGCTACTGGCGGTCGTTAGCCTGCCGCAGTTTGCGTTCAGCCACTACGACGCCGGGGTGAAGGCCAGCATTGTATTTCTGCGAAGGCTGGGCGATGGGGAAGTTGTCTCTGACGATACCGCCATTTTTATGGCACTGGCGGACAACATCGGGTACGACGCCACCGGGCGCAAAACTTTCGAGGTAACCGTCGAGCAGGAAATCGACGGCGTCAGCAAGGTGGAGCGGCACCGCTGCGATCTGTTTGACTACCGCGTTACCTACGAATGGAGCCGGGCCGGCGCGCGGGACGGCGACTGGAGCGAACGGCACCGGGAGATTATTCCCGATACGGGGCTGGTCGCGCAGTGGAGGGCGTTTCAGCGTGATCCGACACCTTTTTTCGTGTAGGCCCTGCTGAACTGGCGAAGCCGGAGTGCTTTGCGGTGCGGCGGGGCGAAGTGTCTGGACGCGCGGAGGTAGTATTTCATCAACCGTGGATTCGTGAGCGTTTAGGGTTATTAGATAAATCCAATTTCACGGTCAGGTATTTGGGAACTATCATTGATGAAATTAGATACGGCACGGGGTCACCGCCCACATATCTGGATGAAAGCGAAAATACTGTTCCCTTTGTTCGGGCAACGGACATCAAAGATGGGGAGGTAAATCTCGAAACACTCCTACATGTGGCGGCAGAACAGCCAGGTCGCATGAATAAATGTAGATTAACAGGTGGCGAGCTGATTATCGTCCGCAGTGGTGCAAATACCGGAGACTGTGCTGTTGTCCCGGATTTGTTGGCAGATTCCTTAGCAGCGTATGATCTGATTCTCACGTTCCAATCAGACATTTCAACAAAGTTCGTAGCCGCCTTCCTTGACATGAAAATTGGTAGGTTGCAACTTAATCTGGTCAAAGGACGTTCCGCTCAACCGCACATAAACGCCGCAGAAGTGGCGGCGTTGCAAATTCCTTTGCCACCCATTACCGAGCAACAGAATCTAGGGCGTGTTGACATTTCATTATAATGGCCGTATGTCAAACATCAGATTATCACCAGAACAGTGGGCCAGGATTCTCGATTTCTTGCGTGCCGCACCGGCCTGTACGTTGGCCGGGAAGCGGATTGCCCGGCGTTTTGGTCGAGGCCGTCTTATGGATTAACCGCTCGGGGCCCAATGGCGACTGCTGCAGCCGAATACGGGAACTGGAACAGCGTCTACAAACGATTCGCCCGTTGGACTGACCAAGGCGTCTGGGCACAAATGCATCAACATTTCTGCGACGACGCGGATCTGGAATACCTGATCATCGACAGCACGGTGGTCCGGGCGCACCCTTGCGCGGCGGGGGCTCCCTGACAGGGGTAGGTATGGGCTGAAATCGGGTTGCGACATAGCTTGGGAAGGCGCACCGCCATCCGGCATCTTGGTTGTGAGACCACCAGATGCCGGAGACCCGCGATGCGCCTTCCCAGCGAATGCTATCAGATGCAAAAAACGATTGAACCGCATTTACCTCACCTCTCCCAGCCACAATTGACCGGCCTGGCGCTGTGGGTCTGCGGGGCCATCCTCGCCGGCAGCGCCTGCCAGAACGCCGTGGCCTCCGCCCTCTCGCCCTGGAGCAACTGGTACAACCTGCGCCAGCGCCTCAGGGAGTGGCTCTACGACGGCGGCGACCGCGCGACTCCCTGCCAGACCGAGCTGGACGTAACTCTCTGCTTCGCGCCACTGCTGCGGTGGGTCCTCTGCTGGTGGCGGTCGGGCGGCTTGGCCTTGGCCATAGACCCCACCCTCAAAGGCGACCAGACCACCGCCATCGTCATCAGCGTGGTATACCGCAGTTGCGCCATCCCCGTGGCCTGGCACATCCGGCACGCCGACCAGCCCGGCTCCTGGATGGACCCCACCGTGGAACTGCTGCAAGCCTTGGCCCCAGCGGTTCCCGAGAATATGACCGTCAGCGTGCTCTGCGACCGGGGCATTGCCAGTCCCAAGCTGTGGCAGCAGATACGGGATCAAGGCTGGCATCCCGGTATGCGCTACCGAAAGAACATCACTTTCTGCGCTGACGGCGGCAAACGATTGCCCGCCCAGCGCTTCGTCTCCCGTCCCGATACGGCGTGGATTGGCCGCGGCACCGCCTTCAGCACCCCCAAGGCCCAACGCCGCTGCACCCTGCTGGTGGTCTGGTACTCCGAACAGGAGGAACCCTGGATCATCCTCACCGACCTTGCACCCGATCAGGTGGGTCCCAGCTGGTACGCCCTGCGCTTCTGGATCGAGTTGGGCTTCAAGGCCCTCAAGAGCCTGGGCTGGAAGTGGGACAAGACGCGGCGCACCGACCCCACCCCGCGTCTCCCGGCACTGGCTCGTCCTGTCGGTGGCCACCCTGCTGGCCCTGGCCTATGGCACCAGGGTGGAGGACGCCCAGGAGCGGAGGATTGCTCCAGGCAACCTGCGGACACCGCCCAAAGCGCTGGCTCCCAATCACCGTGACCCTTGGAGCCGTCCGGCGCGCACCGTGAGCGTGATCCGCCACGGCATCGACTGGCTCCGGCGCTTGCTGCTCAAGGGCCGCCTCTGGAGCCGCGTCTGGCTGCTGCCCGAACCCTGGCCAGAACCCAAGCTCACCTGGAGATTACTCGCCATGTCCCAACCGTAAAAACCCTATACCTACCCCTGTCAGGCGGGGGCTCCCCCAAAAAGGGTGGCCAGGCGGCCCAGGCCCTGGGCCGGAGCCGCGGCGGGTCAGCACCAAGATTCACGTGAGCGTGGACGGCTTGGGCAACCCCTTGCGATTCATCCTGACCGCGGCAACAGCACGCTACATCACCCAGGCGGAGGAGTTGATCGCCGGTTATGCTGGCGAGCACGTACTGGCCGACCAAGGGTACGATGCCCAGGAGTTTCGCCAGCACATCCTGGAACTGGGTATGATGCCGGTCATTCCGCCCCGCTCGAACCGCAAGGCACCCGCCGACTATGACCGGCATCTGTACCGGGAGCGCCATCTGGTGGAATGCTTCATCAACAAGATCAAGCACTATCGCCGGATATTCTCCCGGTTTGAGAAGCTGGACACCAGATACCTGGGCTTCCTGCACTTCACCGCCGCTCTCATCTGGCTACGGTGAAATGTCAACACAACCTAGTCGATGCAATAGACACGGCGCGGGCGGAGCGGAAGGCAAAGCTGGCGGAGGCTGATGGGCTGCTGGCGGGGATTGACGGGTTTCTACTGGATGCGTTGGGTATAGCGGCGCCGGTTGAGGATGGGCGGCGGGTGTTTGCGGTGCGGCTCAGTGATGTACCAGAGAGGTTCGATACTTCTTTCCACCACCCCCGCTTGGGGAAATTGGCCACCAGGTTGGGGGCCGCCCCAATTGCAACGTGTCTGCTGGATCACATTCTGCAGTCTATTTCCAGCGGAGCCACACCGCGTAGAAGCGACTCATCGCAATACACAGATTTAGGAGTAAAATTTCTCCGCATCCTCAATATCTACGGCGGCGAAATTATAGGCAAAGACTTAAAGTACATTACCGACGCCGTTCATAATGGCGAGCTCGCACGGTCACAATTGGCAGCGAATGATGTGCTGATGACCATTACGGGGCGAGTGGGATCGGCAGCAGTTGTGCGCAACGAGCATTTACCTGCGAATGTTAATCAACACATCGTGCGCATGAGAATCGACACGAATCGGTGCTTACCCGAATTCCTGTGCGCATGGTTGAACAGCGTCGTCGGATTGGAACTCTCCAATCGCTCGGTTAGCGGTGGCACTCGAGCGGCGTTGGATTACAAAGCGATCCGTAACATCCAAGTTCCGCTGCCTTTATTTGCGGAGCAGGAGCGACTTGTTGCAGCGATCGCCTCGATACGAGAGCAGGCTCGTCGATTGCGCGCCGAGGCGGAAGCGGGTTGGGAGGGGAGCGAAGGGGTGGTTTGAGGCGGAGTTGTTGGGGGTGCACAACAGACAATAAAGGCAAACTCATGAAAACATCGTTACTGGTGGTACTTGTTATCTTGATTGCCCTGTCCAATATCGGAAGCAGCGCTTGTGGTCAAGAAAGAAAAGCCCAATGCGAACGATATCGGGACAGCCCTATCGTAGGAGCCCACACAATCTGCGTAATTAATCCCGTTGCCAGCCCATAAGAATAAGCCGCCCAAAATCGCGCGGGGATTGACCGCCCCGTCCGCATTGGCCAGCTGGGTTGCCACGCTGCGCTCGCAATGACGGATAAACTGGGCACGTACGGACGCCCAATTTTCTTGACCCGGCGTATCGGCCCCGCCTATACTTTTTGGGCGGTTACGATAACCCGTTCCCGCTAACGGATTTCCTCCCAACGCATCCGCTTCACCCCTCTTGTGCTGCCGTGTCTCAACCTGCATCCCAACCGCCCACTCCTGAGTTGGTCGACCAGCTTACTCAGACTGCCTTGACCGCCCTTGGGGCCATTTCCGACGGCGCCGCGGTGGAGGAATGGCGGGTGTCCTGGCTGGGCCGGCGCGGTCAGTTCACCGGCCTGCTGCGCGGACTGTCTGGGCTGGACCCCGACCTGCGTCGGGAAGTTGGCGGGCGGGCTAACCAGGCCAAGAACACCCTGGAAGAGGCGCTGGCTCGCCGCACCCGCGAGATTGCCCAGGCCGAACTGGAAGCCAGCGACCGCCTGGATGTTACGCTCCCAGGCCGACCCATCATCACGGGGCGATTGCATCCCACCACCCAGATTGTGCGCGAGATTTGCCAGGCGTTCATGGCTATGGGGTTCAGCGTCGTTGAGGGTCCCGAAGTCGAACTTGACCACTACAACTTCGAGATGCTGAACATCCCGTCCGGCCATCCGGCTCGGGATATGTGGAACTCGCTCTGGGTGGATTACGTCAACGAAGCCGGCGAGCAGCCCATGCTGCTGCGGACGCATACCTCTCCGATGCAGGCGCGGGTGATGGAGGCTCAGGAACCGCCGGTGCGCGTGGTGGTGCCGGGCAAGTGCTATCGCTACGAGGCCACCGACGCGACCCACGAGTGGCACTTCTACCAGGTTGAAGGCCTGGCAGTGGCCGAGGGCATCACGTTTGCCGACCTGAAAGGCACGCTATACGAGTTCGCCCGCCGCGTGTTCGGCGAAGACCGCCAGATCCGCTTCCGGTGCGACTATTTCCCCTTCGTCGAGCCGGGCGTGGATATGTCCATCTCCAACTTCCGCGACCCGGCCACGGGCAAGCGCCCCATCAACCGGGATGAAGACTGGATCGAGATTATGGGCGCCGGCATGGTGCATCCCAAGGTGCTGGCCGGCGTGGGCTACGATCCCGACCGCTACACCGGCTTTGCCTTCGGCATGGGCCCGGAGCGAATCGGGATGCTGAAATACGGCATCGACGATATCCGGCATTTCTACAGCAACGATGTGAGGTTCCTGCGCCAGTTCTGATGTGCCCCATCTGATATGATTGAATACACTTGGCACGCTCGGGAGCAGATGGAGGAGCGCGGTATTACTGAAGAGTCAATTGCACTTTGTCTAGCCGATCCAGACTTGATCGAATCAGACCCGGACCCGGCTGTCATTAGGTTTTTGCGTTGCGTACCGGGACACAGCCGGACAATTCGAGTAGTGGTTCGTAATAGTCAACGCAATTTCGTAGTCACTGTACATCCGGACAGGCGATTCCGATGCCCGTAAAAATAAAGCGCAACGAATACGCAATTTACTTACGTTTCTCAGATTCGCCAATCGCTGACAGCGAGATGTTCGCCGACGATTTTGTCGTCGATTACGGTGCTGGCGATCACGTCGTGGGTCTCGAGATAATCACCTCAGAGTCTCGGCGCGCTGGCACGGAATCGGCGTTGCTCGCGTTCGGTCTGGCCGGCACAGCCATCGCGGGATTAAGTTGGCGATATAACGAAGTCGTCAACGAGCGGAGCTTCATCTCGGCCCTGCACCAGCAACTGGAATGGTTGATCGAGCAGGCGGAGCTCGATTTGAAAGTTCTTGTCGAAACGCCTGTCACCAGCTACGGGAGGGTGTTTCACCTGGACCTCGTTGTCTTTGATGCTGTCGGGAACCCCCTGCTCTGTGTCGAAGTCAAATATGGTGGTTCGAATCCTGAAGCGGTTAAGCAGCAGTCCGACTCGCAAGTTAAAAGTTACCTTGCCACCCAACCGAATGCTGTTGGCATCGTAGTAATTATCGATGAGACGGGGAGCGGTTACCCTGATGGTCTGCCGGAGCCGGAGCGCTGGATTGATTGGCCCAACGCAACGGGCTCGAGCGCGCTGAATCGGGTCTGGGCGCACATCTCTATCATCCCGCCGGCCGACCACACCTATCCCTGGCTGCCCGAAGGCTTCCTACCCACCCGTGGTGTCGCACCCGTCTGAGCCGATCATGCTAATCCCCTTCTCCTGGCTTTCCGAATACGTTGACATCACGCTGCCACCCGATGAGGTGGCCCATCGGCTGACGATGGCCGGCATCGAGGTGGGCGATGTCATCACCCGGGGCGGCTGGGATAATTGCGTGGTTGGCTACGTGCGCTCCACCCGACCACACCCCAACGCCGACACCCTGACCCTGTGCCTGGTTGACCCCGGCGACGGCCCGGAACTGGAAGTCGTTTGCGGCGCGCCCAACGTTGCTGCCGATCAGAATATCTGCTTCGCCCGGCCCGGCGCCTTCCTGCTCAACACCCACACCGGAAGGCAAGAAGAGTTGAAGCCGGCTCGCATCCGCGGCGTGGTGTCAGAGGGCATGATTTGCTCCGAGGCCGAACTCGGCCTCAGCAACGAACACGACGGCATCATCGTGCTGCCCGCCGATGCCGCGCCGGGCGCCCCGCTGAACGCAGTCCTTGGCGACACCTTCCTGGAGCTGGAACTGACACCCAACCGAGGGGATTGTCTTTCCATCCTGGGCGTGGCGCGGGAGCTGGGCGCCATCACCGGCCAACCCGTCCACGTGCCCGAAATCGGCTATCCCGAGGCCGGTCCGCCGGTGGACACTCTGGCGAAGGTAACCATCGCCGACCCTGACCTCTGCCTGCGCTACACGGCGTCGGTTATCACCGGCATCCAGATTGGCGCCTCACCGGCGTGGATGCAAGACCGCCTGACCCGCGCCGGCCTGCGCCCCATCAACAACGTGGTGGACGTTACCAACTATGTGATGCTGGAGTTCAACCAGCCGCTGCACGCCTTCGATCTGGCTACCGTTACCGACCGCCACGTGGTGGTGCGCCGCTCCAGCCCCGGCGAGAAGTTCACCACGCTGGATGGCGTGGAGCGCACGCTGACCAATGACACCCTGATGATTGCCGACCCGGCGCAGGCCATTGGCATCGGTGGCGTGATGGGCGGCGCCAACAGCGAGATTACGGCTGCCACCACGACCATGCTGCTGGAATCGGCCACCTTCCACAACCTGAACAACCGCCGCACGGCCACCAACCTGAATCTGCGCACCGAAGCCAGCCTGCGCTTTGAGAAGGGCCTGCGCGCCGAGCTGGCTCCCATCGCTCTGCGACGGGCGACGCAACTCATCCTTCAAACCGCCGGCGGCGCGGCTGCGGCCGGCATCATCGACGTGTATCCCGATGGCCAACCGGATGCCCCGGTGCCCCTGACGGAACGCCGGCTGCGTCAGGTGCTGGGCATGGATCTTGACATCGACCGCGCCGAAACCGTGCTGGCCAGCCTGGGCATTACCACCCGCCGCACCGGGGCGGACAGTCTGGAGGCGGATGCACCCTACTGGCGCAGCGACATCGCCATTGAGGAAGACCTGATTGAAGAGGTGGTGCGCATCATCGGCTACGACGAAGTACCGACCACCATGCTGTCCTCACCCATCCCCTACCACCGGCCCAACCCATTGACCGAGCTGAAGGAAGCATTGCGCGACGCCCTGGCCGCGGCCGGGATGGAAGAGACCATCAGCTATCCCCTGATCAGCGCCGAGGATTTAACCAGGCTGGACTTGCCCGAGGACGAGCAGGCCCCCTGGCTACGCGTCGCCAACCCCATGTCTACCGAGTACAACATCTTGAGGCCGGAGATGATTCCCAGCCTGCTGAACACGCTGGCCTACAACCAGGCGCACAACGACGGCGGGTTCCGTCTGTTCGAAATTGGCCGGTCCTTCGGTTATCAGGACGGCAATCTGCCCCACGAGCGCGAATGGCTGGCCGGCGTAATGTCCGGTCCCCGCTTCGGCGACAACTGGCTCACGCCAGCAGACTTGATGGACTTTTACGACGCATCCGGCATCGTATCCACTGTCCTCGGTCGCGTCGGCTTTACCGCTTCGCTGCAAGAGGCGGTCGGGACTCGGTGGCATCCGGGCCGCGCCGCCACCATTAGCGTCCGAGCTGCCACCGGCGCTGCCGCCGAAGTTGGTGTGGTCGGAGAAATGCACCCGGACATCAACGACCGCTTTGGCCTGCGCCCCGAACCCGTAATCTACTTCCAGATTGCCTTGGACGCTCTTTCGTCGGCGCGACTCGACACCGAGGCGGCGGAGACCCGTTTCCAGTCGCTGTCCCGTTTCCCCGCGGCCAACCGCGATCTGGCGCTGCTGGCTCCGTCCGATGTACCGGCCGGCCAGATTCAGCAACTGATCCAGCGGGTACGGCTGGTGGAACGCACCGAACTGTTCGACGTGTACACCGGCGAGAACGTGCCTGAGGGAATGCGGTCGCTGGCGTTTCGCATCTGGTTCCGTGCCGAGGATCGCACGCTGACCGCCGAGGAATTGAACCGCGCGATGAACGGCTTGACCCGAGTGTTGGAACGCGAAGCCGGCGCCACGTTGCGGGGATGAGCGGTTATAATAAACGTCAGACCAGACCCATTGTCCGGCTTCCCAGCGTCGTCGCCTTTTTCACCAGCAATATGCCGACCCATGAACACGTACAAACAGCACAGGATTACCTGACGTCCGACGACCGGAAACTGGCTTCCGGCCATGTGCTGCCGGGCTCCGAAAAACTGTGGGGCTCCGCCTCCTATGCCGTGATGGCGGTTACTCAGCGGTGTGGCTGGCCATTGGTTAGCCGCCGCGCCTTGCCGCTCAACGTACTGCGATTGGCGGAAGAGACCAACGACGCGGCGTTCGACTCGGAGTTCCCAACCGCGGAGAGATTTCACGAAAACTTCTTCCACCAGTTCAACGTCTTCCACCAGTTTATGGAAAACCACGAACTTCGAGACGATCCACCCATCGTCTACCGGTTCGTTAATCGAATGCTCGGCCGGCTGGCTTAGCAAACTATCCCGAGTTTCGTCGCCACGTCTCCACCGGAGGCACACCCCATGACCACACATCAGCATACGAGTCACCTCCACGCCCACGATGCCCACGGCGATGGCGACCACGAGAGCATCCACGACCACTCCGGTGGCGACGAGCATCGTCGGCCCGGAGGCCACCACGAGGGACGCCCCGGGGGGCACGATAACGGCCATGGCCACGAGGACATGCTGGAAGTTGAGCAGGCCCTGGAACGCATCCTGGCCAACTTTGCCCCGCTGGACGCCGTGGCGATGCCAGTGCTGCAGTCGCTGGGTATGACGCTGGCCGAGGACATCACCTCGCCGCTGAACCTGCCGCCCCTGGCAAACTCCGCAATGGATGGGTACGCGGTGCTGCACGCCGACATCGCCGCCGCCGGCGACACCCCGCCAACTCTTACCGTAATTTCGGCGGTAGCCGCCGGCCAGGTATCCGCCGATACCGTCACCCAGGGCAATACCATACGCATAATGACCGGCGCGCCCGTTCCCGCTGGCGCCGATACCGTGGTGCCCTTCGAGGAAACCGACGAGCTGGATCGCCGCCGCAACGGCCAGCCGCTGAACGAAATCGTCATCCGCAAAACCCTGCCCCTGGGGAGCAACGTGCGCCCGGCCGGCGAGGACGTCTCCGCCGGCGAGCTGGTGCTGTCGGCCGGCACCGTGGTTCGCCCCGCCGAAGCCGGCGTGATGGCCTCGTTGGGCCTGGCTACCGCGCGGGTGATTCGCCGCCCGGTGGTGGCGGTGCTGTCTACCGGCGACGAGCTGACGCAGATTGGCAACGCCCTGCAGCCGGGTCATATCTACGACAGCAACAGCAGCAGTCTCGCCGCTGCCGTAATCGCCTCCGGCGGTACGCCCCGCGTCATCGGCATCGCCCGCGACAACCTGGCCGACCTGCACCGCTGCATCGACGAGGCCGCCGACGCCGACCTGCTGGTCACCTCCGCCGGCGTTTCCAAGGGCGACTACGATATGGTCAAGGATGTGCTGGAGCAACGGGGCGATATGAACTTCTGGTCGGTGCGGATGCGCCCGGCCAAACCCCTGGCGTTCGGTTTGCTGAACCGGGAGGGCAAGCGCCCGCTGCCGCTGTTGGGACTGCCGGGAAATCCGGTTAGCGCGCTGCTGGCCTTTGAGATGTTCGGCCGGCCGGCCATCCGCCGGATGCTGGGCCGCGACCTGCTGTCCCGCCCGATTGTAGAAGGTGTGCTCACGGGCCCTATTTTCAACAGCGACGGTCGCCGGGTGTACGCCAGGGTGGAGGTCGAACGGCGCGACGGCGGCTGGTTTGCCACCCCCACTGGGCCGCAGGGGTCCAACATCCTGACCTCGCTCTCACGCGCCAATGGGCTGGCCATCTGCCCGGCCGACCTGCCCAGGAAAAACGCCGGACAAGCCGTTAAAATCATTATGCTGGACTGGAACGAAGAGGTTGAGCTATGACCACCACTTACGCCGCGAACAACCGGTTGTCAGGATTGGAGTATCGCTTCAGCCCGGATCGGCTCGCCGAACTGAACCGCGCTCCGGTTCCCCTGCTGTTGGCCAGGATCACTACCGGGTGCCCTTCCTACGGCAAAACCGCCGCCGATATTGACAGCGTCGATACCCTGATTGCCGAAATTCGCGGCCACTGCGCCAGCGATACGGATTTTATCAGGCAGTCCATGCCGTTGCAGGAGATCGTGTTCCGTACCCTGCTGCTGGACGCTGACTCCACGATGACCCTGGGCCAATTGCACCAGGAGCTGACGGAGCGCTGGTCGTCTGCCATCCGACCAATTACTGTTACCCTCTCCGGCCTGGCCCGAATCCTCGACAGCGACGAATTCTACGGTTTCGAGGCCATCCCCGTTGATGATCCCGAATTAGCCGACCTCCCAATGCTGACTGCTTCCGGCGCCGACGACTCTGATGGCCTCGCCCAGATTATCGCCGCCATCGCCGCCAACGTGGATGACGAAGAGGACGATGACACCGACCTGTTCGAAGAGGACGAAGACGATTGCGAGGACGATGACACCGACCTCTTCATCGACGATTCTCCTGACAATGAATCCGAGGACGCTGAATCCGAGGACGAAGAATAGCTGCGGCCGCTCGTCCGCGGCGATTACCGGGGTGATCTGAGTCGGCCGTGCAACAGTTCGGGCCCACGTTTCGGCGTGGCGTCGAAAATAGTTCAACGCCCGGCGGATAGCGACCGCTGCATTCGTCCGTTACCGTCGGTTTAGTGAATACCACGGCCAGCCACTACCGAATCGTTGACTGGCTCCCGAGCCATCGCTAGAATAGGCCCATCAAATCGATTACCGTTTCGCCCGTTTGGCGCCGACGGTAGCTCAAACGCAAACCTACGACGGAGGTGTCGCTATAGCCAGGCAGTACAGGGTCAACGAGCAAATACGCGTCCCGCGAGTACGGGTCATAGGGGAGGATGGCGAACAGCTGGGCGTTATGACAGTGCCCGATGCTCTTGCCAGGGCGCGCATTAACGAACTTGACCTGGTGGAAGTGGCGCCCAACGCTGACCCACCGGTTTGCCGGCTGCTGGATTACGGGAAGCTGCGCTACCTCACTTCCAAAAAAGAACGCGAAACCCGCAAATCCCAGAAAAGCAATGACCTGAAGGAAGTGCGCTTCCGGCCCAACATCGGCGTTCACGACTTTTACGCTAAATTGCGCAAAGTTCGCCAGTTCATCGGAAATGGTGATAAAGTTAAACTCACAGTTCGTTTCCGAGGCCGTGAAGCCGTGCATCAACAGCTCGGCCTATCGCTTTTGAAACGGGTTGCCGACGACCTGAAAGACGACGTTCGCCTGGAGCACGCCCCCTCTATGGAGGGTCGTGCCATGTCGATGGTTCTCATTCCGAGTCCCACCAGCACGGTGAAAAGCGAACGCAACGACAACGCAACAGCAGTAACCACGGAATAGCAAGAATATGCCTAAACTCAAGACCCACAAAGGCGCCAAAGCCCGCATCCACGTAACGGGCACGGGCAAATTGCTGCGCCGCAAGCGTATGAGCAGCCACCTGCGGCGCAAAAAGCCCACCAAGGTGACTCGCAAATACGCCCAGAAAATAGGCTTTGACCCTGTCGACGTGAAGCGTCTCAGCCGACTCATTCCTTACGACCTTTAACAACGGAGTGCCATAACACCGTGCCGAGAGTCAAGAGAGGCGTAACCAAACACGCCCGACACAAGAAAATCCTCAAAGCCGCCAAGGGTTACCAGGCCTCTTCCGGTCGTAACTACAAGTGGGCCAAAGAAGCGTTGATGCACGCGTGGAGCCACGCGTATCGCCATCGCCGCCAGCGTAAGGGCGATTTCCGCCGCCTGTGGATTATCCGCATCGGCGCCGCCTGCCGTCAGCATGACACCAACTACAGCCAGTTTATGCATGGGCTTACCGCTGCCGGCATTGAGATCGACCGCAAGATGCTGGCCGACATGGCCGTCCGCGACCCGGCCGCCTTCGAGCGCCTGGTAGCCCTCGCCAAAACGGATTAGATTCTGGGGTCTGCCCTCACCCCAAACCCCTCTCCCGTGGGGAGAGGGGTAATTTTTGCATTGCGCTAACGGTGAGCCAGTGGGCGCACGGGCATGAACGTCAAGCTAATCCCCGGCTCACCCGTACCCACTTCATTCTGTCATTGCGAGGAGCATAGCGACGTCGAGCTGACCATACTCTCATTCTGTCATTGCGAGGAGCATAGCGACGTGGCAATCTCGATGAGGTTGAACACACGTCGGCGAACCGCCTTAGCAAAGGCGGGGGGATTACCACGCTACGCTCGCAATGACAAAGCGGGTACGCATGAGAATCCCTCGGCTCACCCGTACCCACTTTAATCTGTCATTGCGAGGAGCATAGCGACGTGGCAATCTCGATGAGGTTGAACACACATCGGCGAACCGCCGTTGCTACGACGACGGGATCGCTACGCTACACTCGTAATGACAAAGTGGGTACGCATGAGAATCCCTCGGTTCACCCGTGCCCGCTTCATTCTGTCATTGCGAGGAGCATAGCGACGTGGCAATCTCGATGAGGTTGAACACACGTCGGCGAACCACCGTTGCTACGGCGACGGGATCGCTACGCTACACTCGTAATGACAAAATGGGTACGCATAAGAATCCCTCGGCTATCTGGGCGCATCGTCGCGGCAGGGCTCGAAATCCCGGTTGTAGTCCACGAAAATGTCGAAGGTGCCGCGCCCGCCATACAGCAGATTGAGCGAATCGACGCTCACCAACGCTGATCCTTTCAGGAAGATCGCGTTCCCCATCATCTCGCCCGATTCATTCGTTTGGGGTTCAAACGTTGAGATGGTGTCAATACAGTATCGCCAACCCGGGGATAAATTGGCGACGTAGAAATCGACGATCTCGTCCCGCGACAAATGCGGCGCCTGGTAGGTTGCCAGGGTGCCCCATCCATCCGGCGGAGTGATTGGCGACTCATCCTCGGTATATGGATGGGAACCGATGTAGATGCGCTGCACCCCCGGAGGCGCTGGCAGCGAGGCCAGAATACCCTTGTTGTCTGCGATATCACCCCAGCCGAACCAGACCCACCCAACCGTGGGAATCAATGTCAGCGCCGCCGCCAGCACCGCCGATAGCAACGCGGCGTAACGCCACTTGCGTGCGAGGCGCAACGGCCCTCGACGCATCAGGCGTGGAAGCGTTGCAGCAGCTTGTGCAGGGCTTCGGCGCCGAATTCCAGCGCGGACACCGGCACCCGCTCATTGGCGGCGTGGATGGTCTTCAGGAAGTCGAAGTTCGCCGGCAGGTTCATCGGCATCCAGCCGTAGGTTTGGATACCCAGCCGGGCGAAATGCCGTCCGTCGGTTCCCGCTGGCATCAGCATGGGCACCGAAACCCCTTTCGGATCCTGCTCCTCGATAATTCCCGCCAGCGTGTCGAACAGGCCCATGTTCAACACCCACGGTTTAGGCTCGAACCGCAGCACCTCAAACTCAATGGACGGGCCGGCGATGTCCTGCAACTCACCAACCAGATCCTCTGAGCTGTAGCCCGGCAGCATACGGCAATCCAGGTTGACCGTAACCTCGCTGGGAATCACGTTGGTCTTCTCACCGCCGGCAATTACCGTGGCGTTGGCCGTGTGCCGGAACAACGGCTCCATTTCCGTCCGATCGTCCCCATACGGCGTAGCAACCGCCCGGTGAAGGTCGGGTTGAGCAGCAGGCGCAGGAAGGCGCTGTCGGGCAGGGGCATCCGGCTGCTCATCGCTTCAATCATCATCCGCGTAACCGGGTGTATGTGGAAGGGCAGCGGCGTGCGGTCGAGTTTGACCAGGAACTGGGACATACGCGTCGGAGCAGTGTCGTGGTGCACCAGCGAGCCGTGGCCGCCCGGCCCCCTGGCGACGGCCTGCACGCGGCTACCCTGCTTTTCCGCCACCTGAACCATGTAAAACTTGCGGCCCCGATAGGTCTTGCTAAACCGCCAAACTCGCCGATGCCGTACTGCGCACCCTGGAAATACTCCGGATGAGCGTCCACCAGCCAGCCCGCGCCGGTGTTGCCGCCGGCCTCTTCGTCGGTAACCAGCGCCAGAATGACGTCGCCGGGGAGATAGGTGGCGTTCAGATGCGCGTGCATTACCGCGTCCATCATCATGGCGACGCCGCCCTTCATATCGAGAGCGCCGCGTCCCCAAATGTAATCATCCTGCCGACGGCCCTCAAAGGGTGGAACATCCCAGGGTTGCGCCACCGTCGGAACCACGTCAATATGACCGTACAGCAGCAACGGCGGTGCGTCGCCCCGGCCCCGGATGCGGGTTACGACGTTGGGGCGGTCGTCATCGTTGCCCATCAACTCGCGCGATCAATATGCCAACGATGTTGAGCGCAGGGTCGGGTTCCTTTTCTCCTCCTTTTCTGTGGCTCTTCCAGGCAATACTGGGCGCACGCCCGCGCCG